AAGAAGTTGTGCTGTTTGAAGATATGTTTGAACAACACCACTTGAGTTCACCCATTCCATTGTACCAGAGATACTGTCCTGGACAGGGAAGCTGCAGGTCTGATAACTAGAACTATGGCCATGGTGAAAAGTTTAGGGGCAAGCACACTGGCCTATGTATATTTGTGAGCTGATTGCTGTGCTCTCCTCAAACACTTCAGCTGGAATTGGGCTTGTCATGTGAGGTTTTGGAGGCTGAGTCAGCCAGGCTCTGAGCAGAGCTGCCCCAGCATCGAACTCCCACTGGGCAGCAATGCTGGAATGTTTCTCAGCATGGATGCTTTCCCTGGTCCCACTCCCTGTCCTGCCTTGTCCCCTCTGCAGACCCCAGCAACGTGTGGTACACCCCGACGTTCCGGATCTCCGTGAGCAGAGGTGGGAATGCTGAGCTGCCCTGCCTCATCACGGCCCCCGAGTACGGCTCCAGCGTGACGCTGACAGCAGATGACACCTCCCATCTCTCACCCGGGACCAACTACTCCTTCAGCTCTGAGAAAGGAATAACGCTGTACAACGTGCAAAGCAAGCAGAAGGGCTACTACCGATGCCAAGCGGTGGTGAATGGAAGAGTAGAGAAGTCAGCAAGAATCAAACTGATTGTGAACGAAGGTAAAGGATTGGGCTTGCTGCTGTCCTCAGGGAGACAGCAACTGCTGAACTGAGCACAGTAGATAATTAAAAAAAGTTCCTCACCAGTGGTAGGCAAGACCTTCTGAGCCTGCAGTCCCTAAAGGGTATTTAGTGGAAGTAAAACCCCATCAGCTTCTGGCAAATTGACTCCTTCAGGTGGGTCTCTGTGGGTTCATCAGTGGTCAGATCTTTGCAGGCACCGCCACGGAACAGAGGAAAAGTCCACATCTCCCTGATGTTCTGCAAGTCCTGGGGCTCTGCTGCTCAGTCCATAACCACACAGAAGTTTCCCTTGGAGCCCACAGTGCTGACTGCTGTGCTCTCCCCAGCCTGTCCTGCTTCCCATAGACACGTGCAGAAAGGAGCCACGATCCCTATGGAAGGGGAAATCCAGGGCTGAAGGGGGTGGAAAGGAGAAGGTAGCCAGGCCCCAGGGATGGTCCACAGCACCCAGGGTCAATGCAGAAAGGAGCCACAATCCCTATGGAAGGGGAAATCCGGGGCTGAAGGGGGTGGAAAGGAGAAGTTAGCCAGGCCTCAGGGATGGTCCACAGCACCCAGGGTCACTGGGCCAGCTGATGCTGAATCTCTCTCTGCTTGCCCCCACGTAGCACTGGAGAAGCCTGTGTCAGTGGTGATGGAGACTATGGACCACGTGCGGATCGTGGGCGAACCCTTCGAGGTGACCTGCAGAGTAACTGCTCCTTCCCACAAGTATGACATCGGATGGGTGACAGCAGCAAGAAGTGTAAGTTGTGCAGCTTCAAGGGGGCTTTCCTGGAAACTGGGAGACAGGGTGGTGAGGGCTGCCCAGAGCTATGTCACCTGCAGGAAAGCCCTGAACTGCTCAAACAAAGCAGCTGTTCAAGCAAGCTGTAGAAATCTGAACGTGTGGCCATCCTTTCCTTGGGGTGCAAAGAATTAAGAGGCACCTGCCCCTTGTCAGGATCTTACTGCCAAAGACAAGAAAAGGGTGTTTCAGCTGAGGTCGCTGAGCAGGAGGCACAGTACCTACTAAGGCAACGTTTCTCCACCAAGCTCTGCCAGGGCTTATAAAGCAGCAAGCATGTTCAGGACACACAGTTCCTCAGAAGAAAAACAAGTTATGGGTGAAGAGAGGGAAAGCATTTCAAGACTTGGAATAACAGATTTTAACTACTAGATGGTCAGCAAAGGTTTGCTAGAAGTCCTTATTGTATCTGATGCCTTTATTGAGGAGTTGCAATAACACACAAGACATTGCATGTAAGGCCAGTCTGCAGTCAGGAGGCTGATGATAGGTAGAACTCAAACTGCTGTGGAATATCTGCCCTGGATACTCAGGTTTACTGTGCTTCTTGGTCCCCTCCCTGATGGCTTTCAGTGGCAGGGGCTCTGTAACAAAGCCCAGGAGCCCAGAACAGGAGAGGGTGGGTATGTTTGCTGTAATATTTCCATCTTCTGCCCTTCCAACAAAGTGCCTGATGTTCCCTCCTTGCTTGACAGGTCAGGACAAGTAAAAAGCCTACCTTTGAAAATGAGAACTACATCATCAACACCACCCTGTCCATCCCAGCAGTGACCATGGAAGACAGTGGGCAGTACACTTGTGTAGCTAACAACTCAGCAGGGTTCAGGAATGCTTCAACAATGCTTCGGGTGGTAGGTGAGTGCTTCCCCAAAAGACCAGGAAGGTGTGGGCTGAGTCACACCCACCCTGGAATATGTGCCACTTCTGCCTCTATCTCCTTCCTGGTTTTGTTGTTGGAAACATCATTCTCACTTGTGCCCAAAGGCTCCCAAGAGAGCTGTGGAGCTGCTAGGAAAGGAACCAGCGTTCCCTTCACCTCTTGAAGGGCAGGATAACATTTCTTTAATTCTGGATGAAAAATTGGAGAACTTTTTTCAGTCTGTGTGTTTATAAAGAGCTTTAAAACAAATAGAAAAGAATGGGGTGAGGTTATGCTGAAGATGGGGAAAGGCTGGCTAGAAAGAGGGGCAAGCCACGTGAGCAGGCTGGATTTTTATCTCTTCCAGTAACAGATACATGTCAGAGGATTCAGACTGATCATACAGTAGTTTGTGTCTGAAGGTGGAATTCATCCTCATGGCTTGTAGGCTGGGGGTTGTTGCTGCATGCCATGGCTCAGAAGAGGACTTGGTCTGAGTTGTTTCCAAGTGGGAAGCCAGGAGTTTAGCTAAGGGGCCTGCCTTCTGTGGATGATTAAGAGATATAGGTTTTAGCCTCATCACTTACTAGGATACAGTGTGTAAAATCTCTTTCTCCATGAGATGTCACTAAGATTTTTCTAGCTCTCCTGAGGCAGAGTGTAATCCAAGCTGCTGTGACAAAGAAGCAATTTAAAATTACTCTTTTGGCACCATAATCTGTATAATCCCTCATTCCTTCCTGCAGCCTCCTGGCTGAGGCTGCTTTTTCCAATAATGGTCTGTTTATGAAGCTGGTATAAGCTTGTTTCAGGTCTCTGGACATGCCTGCTGATGGTCATGCTCTCCTCCATCCTGCAGAGAGTGGTTATGTGTTCCTGACCCCAGTGCAAGCCACCAGCCAGGAGGTTGCTTTGGGAGAGAGTCTGAAGCTGCAGGTCCACATTGAGGCTTACCCAAAACTTCTCCACTGGGGCTGGGAGCACAAAAACCCCCTGAAGAGCTCTGGGAGCACCCCATACAATGACCAAATGATCTCTGGAAACAACTGGTATGTGCTCTTGCTTTTCTACACTGGCCATGGCATGTTCACAACAGGGTTTTCCTTGTGAGACAGACCCCATGCTACTGACTGACAGAAAACCTTCTGGTTTTCAAGAAGGGAACCATTCTCCCTTTTCACTATTATTAGCAAATGACAGAGAGCAGGTCTGATCAGGTCAAGGAGGACACCACCTCTAACTCGGCAGCCTCCTCTTTAGAAGACCTTGTGGAAGTTACTGTGGCATTTGTGGTCTGGTTGTTCAAGTCCATGCTCTCCTTGCAGGAAGAAATTGCAGGGGTGGATGAGCAGTACAAAAAAACTGGATTCCCTCACTGCTCCTCAGACCTGTCCCATGCCCTGTGGTCTGGGGAGTGTACATACTGAGCAGCACTGTATGGTCCATATCAAGAGAAGCCAGAATCTTTATATGGATAAGATCTAATAGAAGGCACAGTCCTGTTCTCCCAAAGCCTGCAGCCAGCTGAGGCCAAAAGGAGACTGAAAGAGAATCATTCCACTTGTTGCCAAGTTTTGACAATTCCCCTTTCATTTTCTTAGAAACCCAAAATAATCCACAAGAGGAACTGTGGCACTGAGCAAGCAAGATAGCTTTAGGGCAACCTCATTCTTGATTTGGGGCCTGATAAATGGACGAGGGGCAGAGGGGAATGGGCATTAGGGATGACAAAATAGAAGTTCTGTCAAATGCAGGAGGACCAGCATCCTCTGGCCCTTCAAAGATAATGGTTTAGATGTTAAGCTCTTTTTCTGAGCATTCACCCACCTGTAGTCCTCCAGATGTGCTGTACACTTGGTGGCAAAAGGCTTCCTCTAAGGAAGATAAGACCCTCCCTGGTTCCCCTGCAGAAGCAAGTAGCAGGTTCCCCTCATGGGCTGGAATTAGTACTGGGAAGCATCCAGGCATGGGGAGCAGCTGCACCTTGCTGAGCAAAGGCTGTGTGAGTGCTTGAGTTTCCTCAGCACAGTTTTCTTCATGGTCTTTACTCTGTGTGACCAGGTACAACAACACGCTCTCCCTGAACCGCCTGCAGGAAGGAGAGGGAGGTCTCTACACATTTCATGCCCTCAACAATGAGACCAATGCTTCAGTTACCTTCAGTATTTCTGTGAAATGTAAGTGCTTGGCATTGCCCATCCTATCACCCTGCTAGCCCAGCTGGTAGGATGGGGTACCAGGGTGTTTCCGGCCCCATGCTCACAGCACACACAGCCAGGCTGCCTCTGGGACCAGCCCAAACCTGTGTAGCACAGGGGTTCCTGGTGTGCTACAGCTGCACATGTGCACAGTAAACTGGAGCACAAGGAATGTGTTTTTCCTCTGGTCAAAGTGCTCACTGTTCATCTGCCTTCCCCAACAGCTCCTCCAAGGGTCTGCAAAATCAGGGTGCCAGCCAACGACTCCAGCATCCTGCAGTGCCTGGCCATCGGGTACCCTGCCCCTCGCATCGAGTGGTACCTGTGCCCTGTTCACTCTGAGAGGTGAGCAGTGGCTGGGCACCAAGGGGGGTGTGCTTGCCCCTGCGCTGCTCCCTTAGCTGAGCAGCACCAGGAGGGCTTGCTGACGGGCAGGACAGCAGAGCCTGCTCAGTAACAACAACAGGGACGTTGCCCTGCTAAAAAAAAAGAGGTTCCTGGGGACTGTCTGAGTGGGCAGTTACTATTCGTAAAGCCCTGAGCTGGAGGAGTTCAGCCGCCAGTGATTCCTGCTCTCCCAATGCCATTCCAAGGAATGTGTGAGTCCCTGGGAGAATTGCCTCAACACAAGCTGCTGTAGAGCTACACCCTGGCTCCTTCTAGACATCCTTCTGGGATCTCTGGGACATCCCTCTGAGCTTCCACAGAGCACAGGCTTACTGAGTTAGTGTAATGGGAGGCAACTGCAGCTCCCTGGCAGGAGTTGTGTCTCAGTACCAGCCCCAGTTGTAGCTGCATAAAGGCAGGTGAGGCCGTGTCTACAGAGGGCTTGGATGTTCAGGGAGAGGTCTTCTAGCTGGGCAGTGAGTAACGTGTCTCACAGAGCTACAACCCCAGTTCCTGGTGTCTCCCCTCTAGTCTGACACACGTGCTTCTGTGCAGCTGTGCTACAGGAGCACTCATTCTGTCCTGCTTGGTGTCTCTGCAGACAGGACGAAGGCTACAGGCTGCTGTGGAATGACTCCAGCCCCCAGGTGGTGAACGTGTTGCCCTTCCGAGAGGTGGAGGTGGAAAGTGTTGTCCAGTTCCAGGAGCTGGGTGCCAATTTCACCTTCTGCTGTGTGGCCATTAACAGAGAGGGGAATGCTTCTGACATGTTTCACTCTCTCACCATCACCAGTAAGATACAAACTGGTAGCTTGGCAGAGTGGGGGAGAATCTGTGGGGTTTTGGGGGCCCATCTTCCTATCCATACATCCCTACTGTCTTGCAAGGGAAGTGCTATATATTCCACAAGCCCTCTATCCTGATGGGAGGTGGGAGGTATTTGGCAACCTTAGCAGCCATGTAGGAGTTGCTGGCTGGGGATAGGCTGGTGCCAAAGGCTGAGCCACACCATGAACACCTTGTAACTGCAGGACCCAGCTCCAGGGCACAGCACAGCTATCAGATGCTCAGCCCACCAGAGTCCAGGGGTTGCATCTTCTGATGGGCTTGTTCTTGCTGCACACATCTTGGTCCTCAGTCAGTCTGACCTGCACCTAGTGCTGTTTGTGTGGAAATTGGGATGCATGGGGAGAACAGTTTCAGCCTTGAGTTGAGAGTCAAGAACTTCCCTCAGCTCCCAGCAGCTCTTTTGGGTGTCTCTGAGGCCAGTGCTGGGTTGTGTTGCATATGAGGGAAGCCTAAATGAAGAGCTAGGAAAAATGCTACCAGAGATGGGCTTGAAACCAGAGTGTTTTACTCATCCCTGTTTTTTTTGTTCCTCCAGGAAGTGTCATGGCACCCCCAAACAAGCTCTTCAACCCCATCCTCTCCACCTGCATAGGCACACTGGTCCTGCTGCTCCTCCTGCTCCTCTTCCTCCTCTACAAGTACAACCAGGTCAGATTCCCTGTTGCACAGCAAGGGCTGCAGGCCCTGCCCAGCCCCAGGGACCACTCAGCCTCTGCTGGCAGCCCCAGCCAGGAGACCTACCTCCCCCATTCCACTCCCTCCCACATTCCCCCAGGAGCCTCCTGCTGCAGGGCAAGGCTCATGCACCAAGCCCAGTGCAGTGACACCTCTCCCACCCTGGTCCTCCAGTCTTGAAGCCCAGAGGTCAATGTGGATATTCCTTGATGCTCACTCTGTGCTACCCATTGCAGCTGGTTTTGATCTGGTCACCATGAATCCAAATTCAGACCAAATTAAGGAGAGGAAAAAAAGTGCTTTGCAACTTGCACCTACTTTTTATTCTCCTCCCTGCTTTATAAAAAGCTGTCTTCATGAGGAAACAGGATGATGTTAGAAGGCGTTTGTCTCCAGGAAGACTTGGTCACTATTTTTATGTAAGAACTCGCCCCATTTTCTCTGCAAGACTCATTTTCAGTATTTGGATTCCTTCTCAGTTCTTTCCACAAACTGTACCAATCAATAGCTACCTCTGCTTCATCAGTGGTGAAAATAGCCTGTTTTTCAGCTCTCCCTTTGGCACTCTTCCTTTAACAGCCCATCAAGGCTGCAAATTTTGCAGCATAGTTCTGGTGCTGGTTGTCAGAAGATCCAGCAGAGCCCTCTTCCAAACAAGCACCCACAGCTTGGCAGGCAGAGCTGTCTTTGGGCAGTAGCACAAAGAAAGAGGTGAAAGGATGTGCAAACACAGCTCTGAAGAAATAGCTTTTAGGAAGGCTTTGCAAGCCCAAGAGAAGCGAGACATAGTTATAAATAATCTTATCTATCTCAGCCATGAGTCTCTCCAAGCTGATCTAGTTAAGATGTCCTTGATCACTGCAGGGAGGTTGGACTAGGTGACCTTTAAACGTTCCTTCAAAGGACCCCAGACATTCTCTGAGTCTGATTCTTGAGTCACAGCCAATTGCTGCAGTGCTAGGTGAGCTGAGGAGCACAAAGCAGCAGTGCTCACCCTGGAGCAGAAAGGAGGCAACAACAAATAGACCTGAGTGTGTGTGTGACATTCTTTGGGGGACCTCCACCAGAAACTGCTGCCTGGAGCATCCTCTCTGGGCCTTGATGGACAGCCTGCATGGGCCTAGGTGTTCAGCTTTCAGGTGAAGGAAACAGAAGCAGTGTGTGGGAGAAAACAGATGCTTTGCACCAAAACTGCAGATCTGTTTGCTCAGTTTTTGTCCCTTGTGCCTGTGCTAACGTAGCTTTGAGCATCTACCCACGTGCTGCACCATTCTCTGCAGCCCTCTAGGGGAAGAGGGGAGGGGAAGCATTTCAGTGCACATCTCCCATAGGTGGGACACGAAGGGATTCATCCCAGCCGTGGTCACTCCACCCAGGCTTCCTTCTGCCAGCCTTGATGGACCTGAGACCACCTTTGCCATGCTGGGGAGCAGGTCCTTGCCCTCTCCTCACACAGGAGTGTGGCTGCTCACAGCTCTCACACCAGGCAACCTCACTGCCCTCCTCTGTGTCTGTGCCTCCAGCCTGGCTCTGCAGCCCTCTCAACATGAGTAACACCACCCAGCAAAGGCAACAGCCCCTGCCTGTCTCTGCCTTTCCTGGTTACTTCTGCCATGGTATTTATGGAAAAGAGAAGAAATTCTTACTTCTCTTTCTCCATTTCTTTTTTTTTTCCTCCTGTAAGGAGAGCAAGGCTGGGCCAGTTCCACTGTTCAGCTGTGCTCAGCAACCCCGGGCACCAAGGAAGGAGGCACAGTGGGGACATCTCCCTCCAGCAGCAGCTGGGCACTGTCAGGCACTGGTCTGGTGGGGCATGCTGGATCTCCTGGCTCTGCAGTCGAAGTGAGGGCAGTGGGCTACCTTAAGTGAGAGAGGCAAGAGAGCTTCCCTTAGTCACAGGTGATGACTTGGAGGGGCTTCTAACAGCAAAGGGAACAGGCTGTCCAGACAAAGCCTCACACAGTCCAGGTTCAAAGCAAGAACTCTTTGATGGGCTGAAACTTGAGTCTTCCCTCTAGGCCTGCAGGGTGAGAGCTAGAGTGCCTGCTGGGACTGGGGAACCCTCAGGAGCCTGGCTAACTGGAGTCTCTTCCCTGCAGAAACCCAAGTACCAGGTGAGGTGGAAGATCATCGAGGCCTGTGAAGGAAATAACTACATCTTCATCGACCCCACTCAGCTGCCATACAATGAAAAATGGGAGTTTCCCAGGAACAACCTCCAGTTTGGTAAGAAGCCTCCCTTGCTGCTTGCCTGGTGGCATGCAGCTTGCCACAGAGCTGAAATGCTCCAAGGGACAAGACCAAAGCAACTGGGCAACGTCCAAAGCTGCATCCAGACACCACAGCAGCACCTTTAGCCTTGCTGCCCTCTTCCACTCAGGGTGACAAATGCCAGGGTACAACCTCCATTGCCCTGAGGAAGAGGATTGTCCCTCCTCTTGATTCTGGGGCCATTCCTAAGGCATAGAGGCCAGGCTGCGACATGGCCTCTTGCATACCATCTTTGCTCACAGCAGAGTTCTCACACTTTAACCAGCTCCTGACTAAGGCATGTGTCATCTTGTCTGGGCTCAG